CTCGCCAGAGTACTTCTTTTAACTCCTTTTCCTCAACTCGTGTGGAGGGTCAATTAAATCAAGGGGGGTCGGAAGCTCTATCCGTGCCCTTAAAAACACATCCTCAAGTAGGCAAACCGTTCAACGGGTGAAAATTTTACTTGTACTAGAGACAGCTTAGCTTCACCTTGTAGGAGTACCCCACTAAGGATCACTAAAATCTCTTCCAAAACACGATTTTGTGCAATGAACGGTGCCACACACGTTGGGCTTACCCCATGTTTAAGATTTCAATGATTTCGACATGGAGGACCAACCGCTTCCCATTTTCCATATGAGCACCCTGTTCGATACACGAGTCCATAACACAATCCAAACAGAGTCACCATTACAACATGAATTCAACGGTCTTAACTCCACTAATTCACAAAATCAACTGGCACAACAGAGAGCTAGATAGGAAAAATCTTATACTTCAACACCCTCCATAGTGCTACACTACCTCCCTAGGTTGCACATTACTATAGAGAAGTCGATTCAAAGCATACTGAGCAGGCAATTTGCAAGGAAATACGTACTTGGAGCCCTCAAATTAAAAAATTTGGACAGTGGACTAGGCTCCAAGCACACAAACAGCCAAACATTCACCCGCATACATAATCTAACACCCCCCACACTTAAGCACGACATTGTCCTCAATGGAGGAAAGATAAGGAGGGTAGAACGAAGTTACCAGATCAAGGGTGAATGATGATGGACGGGTCAGGCGGTGCATTCCAGGAAGAGAGAGTAATCAGAACGCAAACACCACACAAAATCTCACAAAGGTTGAGTTATTGACTCTAAAATCAAATAACAAAACTAACTCAATCGAGGAGAAATAGAGAAAGAAATGCAAACCGACTGGTTGTGTTGCCTCCCAACAAGCGCTTCTTTCACGTCATGAGCCAGACGATGGCTCCTAAGTTTCGGTCCATGCTAGAACCTCCTTGAAGTTGAGGTTCTTGTCAATGAGGTGGAGTCGCAAGTCACGAGCATGTGGTATGACTAGTGATGGAAGCTCGTGCACTTGATGCAGATGAAGTCTCCATCCTCGAGACCTCTCCTTCGCGTCTGCTCTTGTCTCATTGCCCCAAACCAGATAAGATATATTCGATTGACCACCATCGCATCCACCGAGAGGGATCGATGTTGATGTAGCCTTGGTCTGGCCAAGAGACACTGCAAATGGGTCCTTGCCAAGCAGCTCCTCGAAGTTTGGTGGAGATATCACATGTAACTCATGGCCGGTGCATGCCTCTTCCACCTCAACTTCATCCTCACCCTGGACGCCGATTGCTTCCTCAACCCCCCTTCCTTCTTCAAAATGTCGTCTCTCCCCTGGGAAAAGATCAAGAACCACCTCTTCTTTTATTTCTTCCTCATCCTCCACAACTTCCTTCCTCATCCTTGCTCGCTCTTCTTCTTCTAGAACAGGTTGGAGAGCAAGTCGCCAAGCAATTTCTTCAATGGGATCATCTTGCATCTCCTCGCACGGGCCCAGCATGTTAGAGCATAAATGAGGAAAGGTGTGATCTGCAACCAAAGGACTTTCCTGATCATGATTATCATGGGAGTTCTCTGTGATAACTTCTGTATGCTCCTCAACACTCCCGTAGCCTTTGTCATCCTCCACCTCTTCTAGCGAGGTAGCAGAAAGGTGATCTTGAGCAAGATGTGAGCAAACTTGCTCCACCCACTCTGTTTGCTTCGCTGAGCGCTGAACAGTCTCCTCCATATCATGGAGAAATGAGGGATCGGAAGAGGCAAGGGCTTGGATTTGAAGATCCATCTTGGAGCATGCTCTCTCAGTGTCTCGAGCAAACTGCTCCACGAGAAGCCTTAATTGTTTGTTCGGATCTTCCAGTGAAGTGTAGCATGGCTCTGCAGAGTGACCCGTGAAGGCCTCCATGGCTAACTCCAACTCAGATGGCCCCTATGGTTGTGGCAGGAACTCTTCTTGTAAAGTATATTGTCCTTGAGGTTCCCAAGGGTTTGGTTGTTCTCCGTAGAAGGGGGGTTGGTACTGACATCCGAACCCATAGTCTTCTCCTCCTTGATTGCTCCAGGAAGTCTCGGGGTAATACCACACGGATGGTGGTTGATACCCCCAATGGTTGGAGAAGCCATGAGGATCCATGTTTCAGAGCTGCACCAACAAAAACATAACACCCAAGTGAAAAGCAAGGGTGGAAAAGAAAAGAAAAAAAGCTAAAGTAACAGACTTTCACGTTTCCCCAATAACCAAGAGGGTCCCCGGCAACGGCGCCAAAAACTTGACACTCCAAAACACAACACCAATCAGCGACCAAGTGTAATCGCAGACTGGGAATGCAGTAAAGTGGCAAGTTCTATTATCAACCCAGGGTCTAGATCTACTGCTTACTCAGTGATTATCTATTATCTAGCCAACTAAGTTAAGTGTTTGTTGTTTAAAGCAAAAGCAGAAAGAAAGCAGGAATTGGTACGGTTTTCTCAAGCAAAGAAGAGTCACTCGGGAATGAGTCCCCCTAGCTCCTTAGTTAGGTTTCAATTGTAATTTCCCTGGGTTGATTTACTGTTGATTAGACTGCGGAAGATCCGACAGTAGCTTGAAATCTCTTAAGCTGACCAAGCCCTCTCAGACTAACTACCCGACAGACGACTAGTCTTCACCGGGATAGAAAGTTGAAGCAGTAAGAACAGAACTCCACTACTGGAATTGAATTCCAGTACAAAGCAGTAAACTGGCTAACTCTCGTATAGCCAATCTCCTACTACCGAATGATGAGTCTCTAACAACCTAATCAGATTCTATCTATCTCAGGTTGCAGCAGAAATCAGGAAAAGCTGATCAGACTTCAATTGACTCAATAAACATGCATCATTCGATTAAAACCAAGCAGTAATATAATCCCAAGTCATTACAATCAAATCCCTAACACATAGAACTAGGGTTCTTCATACCCAAGTGAGAGAAGGGTTCTACTCCATAGAGAGAGAGAGGAAACAGAATACAGAGTAGTCATACTCATAAAGATGAGGAAAATCTGCTCTGGGATGATGATCTCCACTCCTATGACGATCTCCAAGCTTGATTTGATGAAACCCAGCTCCAAGATAGCTTCTAGGATGTGTTCTTCGTACTTTCTCTCTCTAGGGCTCTGTTTTTGCTCTCAAAACTCGATTCTCTCACTTGAAGCCCAAAATTGGGTAAAAACCAGAAATTCCCGACTTACACGGGCAGGCTCACACGGCCGTGTGGCATACCCAGTTGCCCGTGTGAGGTCAAAACGCCGCGTTCCGAATAATTGGATTTCAGGCTTCTTACACGACCAGGGTCACACGGCCGTGTAGCTCACCCAGCCTGGCCGTGTGAAGCCTCGCAGAATTCCACACGGCCAAAGTGCAACCTCACACGGCCGTGTGGCTTTCAGGGCTGGCCGTGTGAAGGCTCGCACAATCCCACACGGCCAAAGTGGTCACTTGCACGGTCGTGTGAGTTGTGGGTGTGCCCGTGTGGCTTCCTTTTTGACTTGCCTTGCGCCCGATCTTCGTCCAATCGACCCCGAACTTGCTCCTAAACCTTCATTCACTTGCTAGGACCTGAAATATCACAAACAAACACAACCTAGCGTGAAATCAGCCTAAAACACGAGAATTACCATCTCAAACGGCTCCAGAATAGGGGTAAAAACATGTGCAATTAACGGCTTATCAGTTACCCTCTCAATTGCTATGACAGTTACCCTGATGTTGGAATTGGGATCCTCTTCAGTCTTGACCCCCTCTTCTTGAGACCTCAACCTCTGCTCTTGGCATCCCCTCCCCCCCCCCCTCCCCACATGTCATGGGGGTGGCGGTATGATGTCTACCCCCTTGCCACGTCCTGGGGGTGGTTCCAACACTTAGCCAAATTTTGGAATTGATGGCAAGGGTGGAGCGCAGACTGGGTTTGGCATGGGTGCCATAGGCCCAAAAATTCAATCCTCGTGGCCCATCTTAATTGATTTTAATTGTTATAATTAAGTTTCCCTTATAAAGCCATTTAATCTCTTGTATTTAATCGATGTGGTACAAGGTGAATTTTAGTGGTAAACACCTTTGCGTTTAGCTTTCTTCCCTTCGTTTCTCTACTTCTCACTTCAATTTCAACCAAATCTTCATATCCAAACCCAAGTCCGAAGCCATCAACTCAAACTTTGCATTCCCCTCCTCGGTCAAGTCCATATGGCATAGATATACATGGTGATGCAAAGAAGTTCAAATGTAATTTTTTGCTCCAAAATATTCATTTGTGGTATATTTCGATTTAAACATCATCTTGCAGTTGCAGGAATAAAGGAGAATTTAGGATTGTGTAAGTGTGCCTAATGATGTTAAACAACAAGTATTGGCATTGTTGGGCTTCAACTAGTGATGGTGTGATTTAGAATGAAGACTTTTGGTTGCTTATGTATGCATGTGTTTATGTTCAAATATTAAATACTTATCTTTGTAGTCATTTAATAATTAAATTGATGTCACCCTTGTAAAACATATATTTTGATGTTGATCATAACAATTTGATGTGGTGTTCACTCTTAATTACTAATAATAACAATTTATTTGTGTTTGAGTATTGGTCGAGATATGAATGGTTGATATTATATAGTGATTTTAGTGCTAATTCTATATGAACCTTGAAATCTTACGATTTTACGTTTTGAATCTACGATTCCGATTTCACCTCAGTTTTCAATTTTACTTAAAGTCGCGAATTTGACTACATTGTCGTCAATAGTATAGCAAGGTGACAGGTGGAGTTCATTAGTAGACAAAATAATCGGCGTCCCATCTGGTAGTCAAAAAATCTCTTAATCTGTTTCCTGCAGGATTGGGGGTTTTGATTTTCGACTTTGGTTTTTGTTTGATAATTGATGTATAGACTTTGATACTTTTGAGTTCTTGTTAATACAAGAAGTAGATATCATTCAACCATCAAAGAAATATAACATGATGAAAAAATCAATTGAAAATTCTCACACACACAAGTTAACTTTTCAGATAAAAACTTTTTACAGGAATGAAACATCGTGAAGTTAAATTAAAATGGATCGTCATTTAACGATCATAGGAAGCATAAAATTTTAAAAAAAAAATTGTCAGTCAAGTATCCAATCACATCAAATTGAAAAAAAAAATTAGAAACACTTTAAATTACATCCAACAATTACAAGGTAATTAAAAACACAGTTACTTCCAATATGTTCCCAAATGTTTGTCAAACTAGTTCACAACTAGCAACACCCTTTTTCTTTTATTTATTTTACTCCAAAACCACCTCTTCGTCAACCCGCCGCGTCGTCGACGGCTTCACCATATATGGAACATACGGAATCCCTGTCGGTTTAACCCACTCGTTAGCCCGAAGGAACCGACCGGGGGTGAAATCGACCGCATGCTGCGGGGTAATCTTCTTAATCCCATTCCACGTCACCCTCTTACTTTGATCGGCGCCGGGCCCGTAGTTCCCAAACTCGCCGTACCAGCAAGTCTTGGTACCAACGGTGCCCATCCACGGCATCCAGCCTTCAGGGTCAATCAGATCACCTAAATAACTCTCCATAATTATCGTCCTCGAGAAATTCTTCCAGGGCCGGCCCAAATATGTCTTGTACTTCATCCTGTCGGCCTCCATTTCTGGGGCGGCCGTGATTGTCCCATTCTGGATGATGATGGCCGTGGGCTGGTGGCGCTGCTTCCGGCCTTGGGCCGTGACGATGCACTGTTGATTCTCCATGGGCTTTCGGACCAAGAAGAGGCAGTTCTGAAACACGACGGCAGCGTCGCCGAAGATGTAGTCGATTGTGCCGGAGATTGTGCAGTCGCGGTAGAATTGGCGCTTGGTATGGGTGTACAGCGTGTCTTGATAGCCGTCGAATGTACAATTGTAGAAAATGGCAAAGTCAGCGGAGACCCGGAGGGCGACAGCCTGATGCTTCTCGGGCCCTGCACTGTTCACGATTCGAATGTTCTTGGCGAAGAAGAAGTCGGCTGTGATGGCTGGTGGAGCAAAAGGGAGAAAGAAAACAAGAGTGAGAAAGAAATAAAAGCCCAAAAAGTGATAAAAACTTTTGAGTAGGCCAGTTTAGATGTTTTTTGATGAACTTACCGACGGTGGAAGTATGGTAAGTACTGACGCCATCGATAAAGTTTTTATCGCCGGTGATGACAGTTTTATCTGCACCATCTCCAATCATGGCCATGTTGTCGAGATTCTTATTCACCTCAACATATTCCTTATAAGTACCGGCCTTAACGTAGAGCACAACGACCTCATCCTCCTTCTTCTTCTTCTTTGCCTTCTCCAAGAGCTTCAAACCTTCATTGACAGACTTACTATCACCGCTTCCATCTTCAGCCACCACGACATCAGCGATATCTGCAGGGTTCTTGGAGAAGTCCACTTTACCCCTTGACGCTTCTTCTTTTTCCTCTTGATCAGTTGAATCATCCGAGTCCTCTTTATGACCATCAGTATTGTCCTCCTTCTCCTTGTTCTTCTCCCTTTCAGTCTCGTCGTCGGAATCTTCCTTGTGATCGTCTTCCTCGAGCAATCTTCTGAACCTATCGGGAACCCAGTTGGGGAACGGGTGGTTTCCGTGTCCGAGGACAGGGAGCGTCATGACACTTCCATCCGCGTTTAGGAGGCGGCGTCCTGGGCCGGCCTGGTCTGGTTGGAAGGAAGAGAAGAGGGAGTTGAGCCCAGTGACAATGTCGAGACCGTTAGTGGTTAGTTCCATCGATTTGTTCATGAAATCCTTCATCTTGGCTCCTGCAACCGAGCTCACATTTACAAATCCATCCAAACATGTTTCTTGATATGTCATCGCCGCACTAAGCCACGTGGTAAGATCTGCCATAAAGTCATCTATTCTGTTGAAATCGAAGTTCTCTGTCATCTTCATCAAATTTAATAAAAAAGTTTCACGTCAGATCAAATGACGCACTTTCAGAGTAATTTTGAAAAATATGTTGGACAATAAGAAAAAGAAAAGGGGTTACAGGTATAATATGCACGTTTTATCAAATATGCCCCTCTAATATTTTTTACATCAAACATATCCCTGTACTTTGGAAAACTTATCAAACATGCCCTTTTGCTAAAATTTTCATCCAAAAATCGTTAACCAAGACCGAACTTTGGTTTGGGCGACCCAAATATCTAAAATATCTCTAATAATTTCACTTTAGAATTTTTTTTTTTGTTCTTTCGTATTGCCAAATAATTATAATAATTTCACTTTGATGAGACCTAGAAAAATAAAGCAAGGTCAAAACTGACGTTTCCTCTCCTATTTATCGATGTTAGGTCGTCTAAATCTCGGTTCAACCATGATTGACGATTTTTTCAATGGAAATTTCAACTGAAGGGCATGTTTGATAGTTTTTCCAAATTACAGGGGCATGTTTGATGTAAAAATCGTAGAGGGGACATGTTTGATAAAAAGTCATAGTAGATGGGCATATTATACCTATAACCCAAAAGAAAAGTATATACAATAACCTCTTTTATCAACACAAATGTTTTTGGTCAAATCCTAGGTTGTAGTAAGATTTGAAAAGTAAATCATGAGATGCTACGAAATCACATTAATCTTTTAAATCCAATCGTTAAGTTTTTAAAAGTGTATATATATGAGGATGTTAACTGCACCTACCTTGGCGAGACAATCCTCAAGCTCGGAAATGGACATGTTCATGAGCTCTTTGCATGTGACGAGAGCCTCGTGAGTCCTGGGATCTCCGTCCAGCTCCTTGAGCGTGTCCGATTTCTTCATCGCTTCGTTGATGCTCTTCTGCGCAATGGTGAAAGCGACCATGACAATCTCCTTGGGGTCGGTGGCGTTCCGGGCCGATTTCTCAAGGCTCTGCTCGCATGACTGTTTGTAATCGGCCGGCTGGCAGATCGCGGTGATTGCTTTCTTCGAGGAGGCTATGCTCTCGGCGCTGTTACTGTCTCCGCCATCCCCGATCTCCTCACTATCGCCACCTTCATTGTCTTTTCCGACGCCGACTGTAACGGCGACGACCATTGCCACCAGAAGGATGGATGACACTCCTATAATCACAATCCGCTTCTTTCCTCCGTCATCCGCCATCCTAGCTAGTTCTACTTTTTTTTTTTTCTCTGACTTTTGTCTCTTAATACACACACGTTTATGTCTTTTCTCCCTTCTATTAGTATTTTGAACCCCTTATTAGGGAAAATATGTAAGGGGCCGTTTTGGTATTTGTCTTTAAATGTATGAATTGTTTTTGTAAATTTTTCCTCTTCCTTGATTGATCAGTAAGGTAAGTTTTTTTTTTGTTTTGTTTTGTTTAGTTTATTTAGGGTTACAAAAGGAGATGATGAGCTTTCAAGGAAGAGGGTTCTCTATTATTATTTTTTTGTTGTTGAAAAGCCTTGGTTTGGCCTCTCCCCCTTCAAAGACTAAAAAACCTCGTTTGAGTTGGAGATTAGGATAAAAGAGATTAACTTATACTTTTTCCCCTTTTGTGGAGGGAAAATTATTTGATGGTTTCGAAAGTTAGTTAAAGTTAGTTGAAGGAATTGTGAGGTGTTCGGTGGAAATTAGGAAATGGAAGAGGTCAAAGTGAATTGAAGTAGGAAAAAAATTGGATGAATTTGTTGATTAATTGCTTTTTGCCAAAAATTGTGTTGCTCTAATTGGAGCTAAATCATTAGAACTTTTACTTTGCTACATATCCTAAATGTGAGGCAGAGTTTTAGCCATTGTTGAAATTATCAGGCAAAAAGATAATTCATGCAAGTTAAACATAACGGATTAATTGCATGGTTGGTCACTGAGATTACAAAAAAGTTACATGTTTAGTCACTAGAAATATTTAAATCCAATATTGGTCACTCAAATTAGTTAAATGATTCAAGTTTGGTCACTGTCTGTTACCTTCCGTTAGTTTATGTTAACACCGTCAGTTATTTGCTGACGTGGCTAACATGCTCACTTAGTCACCTATGTTTGAAAAAATAAAATATAATCCGATCCTGCAACGTCATAAAAAAACCTGCCACATCATAATAGCCTAACCAATGTGACCCGAACCATAAACCCATGATCTGATCTACACAAATTCAAACACAAGATTAACCAATATGCAAATTCTGTTTAATTGATTCAGAACCTCGCTTAATTGCGGTAATTAATGATCCAATTACTTTCCTAATACAGCCAATAATTGATTAATGGATTAAAAACTGAGAGGGCGTGTAGCCGAGAAACAAACCTTACCGTCTCTTGGAGCAATGGAACTTGCCGCTGGTGGTGGTGGAGCCAGAGAATTTCCCGGACAGATCATGGGAGTGATCATGCTCGCGGCACCGCTTCTTGCTGTAGGGCGCTGACAAGAGAGGAGGCTTTCCGATGGAAGCCGTCAGTAGGGACAGGAAGATCGACGACTATAGCTTCCCGTTCGAGACGTTTCTGTCGTCGGTAATAGCGGAGGAAATGAAGGAGGAGTTAGAAGACACGGTGTAGTTGTCCTTGGTGTACTCCAGCTCGACGCTCTTGGAATTCAAGCCGAAAATGTTGAGTTTTGTGAAGTCAATAGTCAAACTCTACGACTGCGACTGCACGAAGCTTGAAGCCACCACCGGTGGATGAGGAGGAGTAAGAGGAGGCGTCAATTGGATGACCGCCGCCTCGAATGTATGGTCGGATGAGTTGCGACGCGATGTGCGACGATCGATTGAGATGGAGAAGGAGCCGTGGACGATGACAGCGGCGGGGGCGAAGGAAAAGGAGGAAGTTGAGGAATTAGGGTGGAGAGGAAGGGTTGGGTACTTGGGTCACGGGTTGGGTGGGTGACTAATGTGGCATGTTTTGCTGACTATACGGACGGGTTTTATTTTTTTATAATTTAAATTGGGGGAATCAGATTGCAACTATGGGTCTTTTAGAGGCGACAAAATATTGTTATACTTTTACACTTTTTATTTATGAAAATGGGTGCAATGAACAACTACATCCAATTGATTAATCAAATGGCGTAAAAATCACCAACATTATTATATATAAACTTGAATCCAAGTTACTGTTGCCTTAAAAGTTTTAGGTTTGGTCACCTATTTTTATCAGTTTTACATTTATTACCATCATATAATAATGTCAAATCAAAATAAGTTTTCATTGGGGTTGTGCTATTGGAGTATTGTGTTTCTTTTTGTTGTTGGCTCTTTCTATATATTTTATTTTATAAAAATCTTGGCTTTGTGTATAATAATATTATCATTAAAATGCAATATGGGTAGAACGGGTAACAAGTCGGATAATGTATAAATATTTCCCTACCCAAAAAATTTTGGGTTGTACACATATCCATACCCGTATAAGCATCAGACAAAATATCAAACCATACACATACCTGATCGGGTTTTGGGTATCCATGGATAATTTTAACGACTCTTCATATACCGACATTATATAAGTGACAAATCACAACAATAAATTACCAAAATGAAGAAACTTAGTCATGAAAATATTATATATGCACGATAAATATGAAATAGTAAGAAAAGTAATGATAATTTTTAAATAAAATACATATGCACTGTTGATGTGACTTGAATCGGACTATCAGCCGCTACGACTGGTAATCAGGGGTCTCGCTGCCCGGTCAGCGAGTGGGGTCCAGGGGCAACGCCCCCGGCCCACGGTGTATGGGCTCAATGTTATTTGGGTTCGGGTTCTAGGCCTGGTCTGTAACCGTTTCCTTCACCAGATTGGATTAGGTTTAGACCCACATGGAGAAGTACTATAAATACTTCTCATACTCCTCTATAATCTGTAATCTCCTCGATATAGTGAAATTGGCGCTCTCTCGCCCGTGGACGTAGCTAGCACACATCGTGTTAGTGAACCACATAAATCGTGTGTCTGTGTTTTTTGATTCTCGCTTTCGTATTCTTGCTTTGTTGATTCCGGCGATTTCCCGATCCGTAGCAGCGCGTTTATAACATGCACATGTATAATCAGACACTAAGCAAGTGCTAATGGCAGTGGTTCAAAAAATCCTCTAATTATTTTGGGCCTAACCCCATGAGGCTGGTTTTACAATGCGAAGCTTTTAGAAAAGCGTATGTGTCACATATGTTTTGAAGCCCAACCCGTGAATTTCGGAATTCTATATATTTTTAAGCGAGCGGATAGAGTACAAAACTTCGGTCTGCAAAACCCGGTCGTATCATCATATCACGATTCACGACATCGTGATACGATGATACAATACACCTAACTAACCTGTTAAACTCCCTCTTATTGTAAGCAAGCTAATTGACCATTTTGGATGAAAAGACGTGATATAGTTGTTTTGTTATATCTTGATAATTATTCGACATTTTTGTTACATTTTAAACGTTTGAGATCATTTTATTACTGATCCTTATATATGTGAGCACTTTAATAACAAAAAAAAAATCGTTCAACACTTCATCTCAATCCAGTAGTGAAACGCGGACGGCATTGCCTAGTAGTCATATAAAAACCAATATGTAATGTTTGAATTGGAATGCTTACTAACACAATTATCTGGACATAGATAGTGATTCTTGTAAATCAAACAATCAGCCAAAAAATTGCCCTCCTTAAAGTTATGGGTAACTCTAACACCCCCTAGTCTCGCTATAGAAGCTCTAGGAATGTAAGCATAAAACTGGCACCCTGGTGCTCCGTCAAAGATGAGTTAGAGAAGAGATTGACGATAGTTGTGGACCACATGCAACTTAAATAGATGATATCCTGAGTCCCGCGCCAATTGAGGCATCATTCCTTATAGTTTCGATCGAGTGATTGTGCATCATTCCATACTCATCGAGTAGGCATCCAATAAGCGATCCTAAATTTCTCTAAGCTTGAAAGTTTTGACTAATAAATGATATTTACCTAATCCCAAGTAGACCCATTGATTATGGGTAGGGTATAGGCGACATATATATGGGTTTGGAAGTTTGTAGATGTGTTTGGGTAGGGTATCAATATTTATTTCCATAATCTAAATATGTATGAGTTGGGTATGGATACCCATTTATTCGAGTGTATTTTAATTATATATACAAAAATTAGACCTATTTGTAGAACTTCAAAAATTTAGGTACCAAAATGCAATACACAAAAAATTTATGTACTAAAATGTGATGTTCCATCAATATTTTGAGGACTTATATGCAAAAGAAATAGTTTATAAATCTAAAGATCTATTAAGTTTAGGTACCGAACTGTAATTTGTATAGTTGAGGCTTAATTCCTTTTATGGTAATGTATTGAAGATGATAATTATTTACCTTTTTATAAAAAAATGGAAAATATTTATTTGATATGTGTAGATAGCTAACGAAACATTCTATGAATAATTGTTGAAAATTCTATCCCGGGTGAAAAAGAAAAACTCTAGAGAGAAGCAAAATGAATACAAACTAGAACTCGCTTATAATTTCACGCCTTCAAATCCCATACTGGAAAATGATGACTTTCTGATAAGTAATAACTATATATATTTATTTAAAATTGGACTCGACATTGAGGTGAAAAAGTTAGTGGTTCATGGTTCAATTATTAATTCTCTAAACTTTTGGTGAGTCGTGTATGGACCCGTTCATACTTGTGATTAAAATACATAAAAAGATAGTATACTAATTAGGGTTATTTTTAATGTTTCATGAAATGGGAAAATATAAAATGACCGAATATTGTCCTACAGTTGAGTGATAAAACATATTGTATGATACAAACTAAATTTATACTTTTATGTTATGGTGGATTGGATTCATGGATTGGTTTAAAAGGATTGGTGGATTGGATTTATAGATTCAAGTGAAATCTAAACATTGGACCAATATGTAAATTTAAAAAATTATAGGTACAAAAATCTCATAAAATTTAGATACCAAAACATAATTGCTCAATGATTTTATACTAAATTAAATTTGAGGTATCAAAATATAAAATGTTAAATAATAACTAATTTGTAATTTTTTATGCAACGGTAATTGCACTTCAGCTTTATATATATAGTAACTACTTCATCTAATTTGACCATTAAAAAGGTTGGAAGGGTTCCAACCTTCTTTCTTGTAGGATATATGGCCCTAAAAGAACCCCACACACATCTAATGGTCATATTAGTACCCTTTCCTTCGCTAGTAGACTACTAGGTTGAAATACATCATTATGATTGTAGTATATAATATTTGCACATCTTAATGACTGAAGTATTTCTAGAGTACATCATACTTCAAGTGATCTGGTTATTGAATGTATTTTGTTGAATTTCGTAGAATCGTAAACAATGATATTGTATAAATATTGTACTCCAAGTGATCTGGTCATTGGATTTATTTGTTCGGGATTGTGGCTGGCGCTAAGAAATTGAGCGATAGGTCTTCCTACATCTGGGTATCTTTAGGGGGATGTGGGTCTCACTTTTTTATAGTTAGGCGCTCATCAGAAAACAACAAGCACCTAACTGGGGGACAATTATTGGGTTAGTATGGAGAGGTCCAG